CTGTCATGGCTAATGCTATGTCCTGAAACAAGTCAAAACGTTGACCTTCCCTGATCATTTCGACACTGGGGAAGAACCGGAAGTTACACAGTGCCAGGTCTGAAGAACAAAGTGGGTGAGCGCACACCATAATGTTTTTACCAACCTGCTTCTCCACTGGGTGGCTCTCAGCACCTCCTTTCATTATGTTTTTATTACACCTTCAAAAAGTGGCAAAAATAATGGGGTGAGTGTCATGGAAGCAAGGGAAAGTGTTTTCAGGGGGGTTAATGGCAATGCGTTGTACTGTAATAAACTTTTTTGTGTAAGTATTTGCCGTGTATTTTGATCATACCACATATAGGGGACTTAACTTCTTCCAGACTGGCTATTGTAGCGACTCCTTCTTCAGGAATAACAATCTTAGCTGTACGCTACGTGGTTAGAAATTGGAATCTGATCTGGATATTGTAATTTCTAAGTCCACAAGTGTCTGCACTTGAAACCTGTCGAGATGAATTGATTTATGTCAGAACTGTCCTGCTGAGACGAACACGCCAAGGAGTTATGTGACTCTTCCTGGGGCTGGCGGCCTTTGGTGTCAAAAATGAGAATAGCACTGAGTCTAGACCAGAAAAAATAGCTCAAGGGTCGTATTTACTGACTGTGACCCTTGGGCAGGTCTTTAGATCTAGTTAGTTTCAGTTTCTTCCAAAACCTAGATGTTATCTGATTCCCTAACCTTAGCCACTTGAAACAGCCCAAAAAAACCTTTATCATTTCACATACATTCCATGGATCAGCAATATTTACGAACACATGGTTCTGACCGAATGGTTCGACTTGGGGTCTCTGTGAGCTATTTGACACTAGCCACGGCAGCACTTATTTTACCGTCTTGGCCCTGGAGACTCCAGTCCCATGGTGCATTTAACTGGTTTGCAAATTAGAACTGGCTATGGGACCCCTTACCTCACTGACTCCCACCGGGCCATTTGGACTTTCTCACAGGAAGCTGGCTTCTTCTAGAAGAGCAGGCATGAAGTGACTTTTTAGATCACAGCACTCTTAACACTTATTAAAAGTGTATCATCCAAATTCTTTCACACAGTCACAAATGTATACTTGGTAACCAGACTGGTCAACAAATCTACATCTATGTCCACTTATACATATTTTTTAAATCTATTTGTATTGAAAGTATATATGCATTTTTTTTAGAAATCAGATAGTCTTAACAAGTTTATAGAAAACATTCTCGGTGGCATACCAATATTATTCACAATAGCCCAAAGCCAGATGTCCATTGACAGATAAACGGATAAACAAGAAGCAGTATGTTCACGTGTATTAGCTTTCCCATTGCTGGAAAACAATGCCCTGCTCCTTGGCTCTTGATTTTAGGAAATTTAGTACGTGCTTGGCTCCCTAGGCAGTGTCATGACAGAAAGACAGCAGAATGAAGCTGCTTAGTTCACACCAGCTGGGAAGCAGAGTAAGGGAAGAGGGCCAGAGGTGTAGGACCAGACATAGACCCCAAGTCCATGCTTCTGTGGCCCACCCAGACACGTGCAGAAATGCCCTCCTCCTACGTGCCAAGTGGATCCCAAAGACAATCAACTTGACACTCCACGCTAACCACCACCCCATACACTAGAATATTCTTCAGCCCTAAAAAGAAAGGAAATTCTAACACACGCTGCTACAACATGGATGAAACTCGAGGACAATAAAATAAACCAGTCACAGAAGGACAAATATTGTATAATTCCATCCATTTGATGAACCTAGAATAGTGAACTTCACAGAGACAGAAAAAATATGGTGGTTACAGTTAGAGTGTAATGGCTACAGAGTTTTTAGTGTTGGAAGATAAAAAATTCTGCAGATGAGTAAAGGCAATAGTTACACAGCAATGCGAGTACACTTAACCGGACCGCTTTCTTAGAAATGGTTACGATGGTAAATTTTGTTATGTATGTTTTTACTTACCCCAGTTTTTAAAAAACTACCAGGCTACCTTACTAAATATTGAATAAACGTGATTTCTGGCTAAATACACCTTAAAGAAACTCCGTAAGTTTCCTGAATCACCCATTGTTGAGAAATGTTTTAGTGTTTAGTCTGCTTCCCAAATAAAAAACTTAGCATCATTTTAAAAATTATCTAATGTATTAGGCCCTCAAATGTATATCAACATTATTGTGAACACACTGAACACTGGTTTTACCCTGAATAATAGTGTACTCCTTTCAGAACTGAGGAAGAGGTGAGATACGCTATGAGAGTTAAAACTTCTTCTAATATTTGGGAATCAATAAATTATGTACAAATTACAATTTTAAGAAGCAGAGGTTTACACCCAGTCACAGGGGCACACGCCTGTAATCCCAATGCTCAGAAGGCTGAGGCAGAAGAATTGCAAGTTCAAGGGGAGCATGGCCTACGTATGAGTTCAAGGTCATCTGAGACGGTATATGGGGCTCTGTGTCAAAAAAAAGAAATACAAGTTCACATATGTTATTTACTTAGGTTGAGCTAAAATGCTAAAAAAAATTACTGTTTCTGAGTTTTTGTTTCTGAGAAGAATGAAAACAGGATATATTACAATGGTGTGAAGAGTTCACCTTCCTTCTTTCAGATATGAACACTCGTTTCCGCGCACTGTGGAAAGAGTCGCCCATTAAGTGGTCTTAGCACCCCTGTCAAAAACCAGTTGAAGCCGGGCGTGGCGGCGCACGCCTGTAATCCCAGCACTCCAGAGGCTGAGGCAGGAGGATCATTGCAAGTTTGAGACCAGCTTGGGCTACATGAGTGAGCTCAAGACCAGCCTGAACTGCATAGCAAGACCCTGTCTTAAAAAGACAAAAAAGAAAGAAAAAGAAAGAAAAGAAAAATCAGTTGATTATATGTGTAAGGGCTTATTTCTGAACTTATGGTACTGCATTACTTGTACCATTTTTTTCCCTTTGAGTTAATAATTGACTCATTTTTTTCGTTTTGCTTCGTTTCTGTGCTGTATCACTAAGTCACACCCAGTCTCCCAAGATACATAAAATTCCTCGCATCGCAATTTTAAAACTCTGGCTATAGATGGTGAGTTCGGTGTGTCTTCTCGGCTGTCTTCGGGGGACGGTACTTCCGGAGCTCCCTGCCTCCCCGCTCCTCTTCGCGGCCTTCCCCACCGCTCTCCTCCGGAGGCTGCCTTTGCGCTGCTTCCTGAGAGTCTGCAGCGCCTTGTGGGAGGTCCCCCGTCCACAGAGCGCTCTGTGTACTGTTTCTTTTCCTCACTTGCGCTGGTGAAGCGCATCATTCTGTGGCTTCCTGAGTGTAGTTACCCTGTTCTCATACTCCAGTTTTAAAACGATTGTGTTCAAAATTCCAGATTTGAAATACATTAGCGGAGGACTTCAAAGGCTCATCTCCACTGACATCTGGCTTCCAGTGCAACTGTTAAGAATTCTCTTTTCAGATAATAGGACATCGCTAAAGGAACTTGGGTGGGACATTTCATGGCCATATCTTTTTAAAATATATCTCATTGTTGTGCAAAGGATTAGTCAAAGAGGTACAAAAACAAGTTTGGAGAACAGCAGAATTGTAAGGTAAAGAAGACAATGCCTAAACTAAGACAGCAGCAATAGAGGTAGAAAGAGTAGAATTCAAAAAATATTTAGGAGACAAAATGAGCAGAATTTAATTATTATTGGTAGGCCCTAGGATGATTCTCAATATTTGCACAAAGGCAGTGAATTCTTGTAATTTAGAAATATCTTCTAATGGTGACATATTTTAAGACATAGAATTAGCTGCATTGTGCAATTTGGACAGGTCATCCCTGGAGACATTCAAGTAAAGACCAAAGAAATACTTTCAATCTTTAGGTTATGGATCTCTTGAGAATTAGATGGAAGCGAAATTACATTCATGTGCATACATCCACGCACATACATGCATGCACAAACACACACGTGCATGCCTGCACACACATTTTCATATATATTTTAACCTTTAAATTAATCAGGTTATGAGAAAAAGGACTAAATGGTCAAGGTGCCACATAGGGAAGATTCCTGCGTTGACCATGAGATAGGATCGATGATCTCTGATTAGCTCCTCTGTCTCTCATTACTCTGCGTCTATAAATAATAAGGTAGTGTCTTTTAGCCACGGCCCAGCACCAAAAATGCTTTGCCAAAGTCATCTCACCGTCTTGCCGTTGATTGTGTGTATTGACCTCCTTCAGATATAAAGTCATTCTTTCACTCAGATTAATATTCCTATTGTAGAGAACAAGGTACACTTTTTTAAATACTGAGAAATAATAGCATGGGGAAATCAACCTCTGTGCCTCTAGCAACAACATCTGCTCTTTCCCTTTACTTCTCTAACTGCCAGGGCAATCATTATCCATTAGGACATGCCAACTCATGCTGAATTTTGGGTCCTAAAAGATTGAATACGACCCTAGGGTCCCTGGACGTCTATTAGGGAGTCAGGTGGACATGTCTCAGATTTTTTTCTTCTTTGGTTGCTGGTGAGGACAGAACATTGGGATGAGACAGAAGGCCATGGACTATGATGTAGGGCTTAATATCCAGACATAACTTAAACTTTGGATCCTAAGATTAGTTCTCTTTTCCTCCCTAGGCTCCAGGTTTTCATGTAGAAACACAAAGACTTGATTTGGTCCTAGTAGCAAATTCGTTTTCTTTCAGGCTGGCTCTGATTGCTTGGATCCACCTCCCTGGTGCACTGACGTGGAGAACAGTGCCCTTCTGAACAACGTCTGCCCTGGAAGGGGAACGGCATGCCAGCCTGAGGCAGGTGATCCCTCAAGTCTCGCTCATTTCTCAAGTTCCGTCACAAATATGCCTTATTTTTCAGCTCATTTACATTTTTATGTTGCTCCAAAACAAAGTGTCCCCAAACATAGCGTGTCCCTGTTTAACTGAGGAAACCAAAGTAGATAAAGTTCTTTTGAAAAAACTTACCAAGTCTATCATGTCCATGTTGCTAAAGTCCACACTCTGTGTACACTCCACAGTAACTGCTTCGTTAGAGTCGGAGAGCCAGTCATGATATAGGGATGGCGTAAGCGATTTCCAGCTATAAGGAATTTCTGGTTAAAAGGAAACATACAAAATAAAACAACTCAGTGTAACATGTCGAATGTGTTGCCTAGGACTAGTGTAACAAATTTCCACAAGCAAGCTGGGCAACTAAAACTACAGAAATGTCCTCTTCCCCATCCCAAGGTGAGATGTCCAGAATCCAAGACGTCAAAATTCATGTCCTTTCTGAGGACATCACGAGAGCAGGTCTTCTTTTCCTCTCCCCAGGTACTGTAGAATGTCAAGCAAGCTAAAACATTCCCCGGCTCGTGGTCACATCTCTCCAGTCTTGGCCTCTAGAGTCACATGGCCTTCCCCACTGTGTGTCTGTGCCCAAGTCTTTCACTTCTTAGGAAGAAAACCAGTCACTGGTTTAGAGTCCATCACTACCCAGTCAGACATCATCTCAGCTTGGTTATATTTGCAAAGTTCCTGCTTCCAAATAAAGTCACATGCACAGTTTACAATGCATATCAAAGCAACTTTTCCATGCTCCAAACATAATAAATTATTAAATCATGACAATCACTTTTTATGTAATAAACCTTATGATAGAGATCTACAGGTATTTACCTGGGATGATATCCATAACTTACTGATGAATAAAAATAACCAAGACTACCATATAACAGTATCTTACATAGTATATTATATTAAATGTCTTAAGCTGGTATTAAGACATTTACATATTACAGGCATGGTAGTGCATGCCTGTAATCCCAGCACTCGAGAGGCTGAGGCAGGAGGATCGTCATGAGTTTGAGACCAGCCTGAGCTACAAAGTAAGCTCAAGGCCAACCTGAACTGCATGGTAAAACCCTGTCTCAGAAAAGACAAAAAAAAAAAAAGATTGTATTAAATGTCTTTATGTAGATGTATGCATTGAAATATATTTGGATAAAACAATTATGATTTTTATAAGAAAATTAAAGCTTTATATTCATAAGTGGGCCACAACTCACAAAAATAACACCACCAACACAATATTTTATATTACTTATAATATTTTATGCTTTTTAAAATAATGAAGGCAAAAGTGAAAATAAGTACACTATTTCAGAAGACATATTTAATGAAAGTGGCTTTTGCTTTTATTCTTAAAAAAAAAAAAAAACAGGGTCTCACTATGTAGTTCAGGCTGGCCTTGAACTTACTCTTGTAACCCCGGCTGGCCTCAACCTTGTAGCGCACCTCCTTCCTGTCTCCTGAGTGCTGGGACCATAGACATGGGCTGCCGCACTCAGCTGTTTTTTCAGTCTTGATGTCACCAGCTTTGTGGGTCCTTATGCTTGCTATCAGAAGAATCAGACAGGTAAAGGAACAGACCTTTTATTCTTTTTTATTTTAAAAATTAAAAAACTGACAGAACAACAAGGAAGACAAAATCAAAACAACACTAAAACAATAAAAATGATACATGACCTCAAGACACATGATAGAAATTTACAGTGCTTGCTAAATTACATACTGTTACCTTCCACGAAGTTGCTCATTCCACTAGACATAAGAATGTAAGATTGATCAAACAATCAAAGATAGTAACAAGTAAAAAACAATAAAAATAATTTTGAAAAAGACATCAGAAATGATGTAAAGCTTCACCATATAAAATGGTAGGAGTTCAACAATGGTTCTTATGCTGCACACTGTTTTCAGATCAGTCTTTCTAATTACCAAATTCAAGCATGCAAAACTGCTCAAGAAAAAAAGAAAATTTTAAGCATTGACTGCTCCTCTCAATAAACTATAGACATCAGCAATACACTTATTCCAGCTATCTTTATATATACATATAAATTTGGGGGTTTTTTAATGGGAAACCTTTTATTCTTATACTGGAATACAAAGAGTAAAGCCATGTAGGGATAGAAATACCAGCTTGATTCTCTTTAAGAAGGAAGGGAAAATTTTGTTTTTGTTTTTTTGTTTTTTGGGGGGTTTTTTTGGTTTTTCTCCGGTACCAGGAACCAAACTCACGACCTTGCGCTTGCCAGGCAGGCGCTTTTGCCGCTGAGCTAAATCCCCAGCCCCGGAAGGGAAAATTTTAAAAATCAATAATATATATACAAGATAGCTAGGATAATTGTACTACTAATTTCTAGTAGTTCATTGAAAGGAACTGTTAGTGTTTATATTATTTGATCAATCTTGCATGCCTATATTTTATAATCTGAGCAACTACTTTGTGTTTTTATTTTAAAGATAAAAAAGCAACAACAGTGGTTGAAGACAAAATCAAATGAAAACAAGATCAAAACAACACAAAAACAACAAAAACGATACATGACCTCAAAACAAAATGATAGGAATTAACAATGGTTGCTACATTACATACTGTTATCTTCAACGAAGTTGCTCAGTCCACCAGACATAAGAATGTAAGATTGATCAAACAATCAAAGACACTAACAAGTAATAAAAAAAATTGGAAATGATGCAGAGCTTCACCATACAAGATGGTAGGAGTTCAACAATGGTTCATATACTGCATATTGTTGTTTTCAGATCACTCGTTCTGATTACCAGATACAAGCATGTAAAATTGCTCAAGAAAAAAAATTTTAAGCATTGACTGTTCCTTTCAATAAACCACAGACACCAGCAATACACCTATCCCAGCTATCCTTGTACATATACATGAATTTTGTTATTAGTAATTTGAGAAATGCAAATTAAAACAATCCTGAGATTCCATAGCACCCCTGAAAGAATGGCTATCATCAAGAAATCAACCCATAACAAATGCTGCAGGGGCTGTGGGGAAAAAGGAACTCTTCTCCACTGTAGGTGGGAATATAGACTGGTGAAACCACTGTGGGAATCAGTGTGGAGATTTCTCAGTAAACTAGGATTAGAAGTCCCATTCAGCCCAACTATTCCCCTCCTGGGTATTTATCCAATAGAACTGAAAACATCATAGCACATCAATATATGTGCACCCATGTTTACAGCAGCGCAATTCATCATAGCTAAATCTTGGAAACAACCCAAATGTTCATCAGCTGAGGAATGGATAAAACAGATGTGGTATTTTTATACAATGGAGTATTACTCAGCTCTAAAGAAAGATAAACTACAGGTTTTCATAAGTAAATGGATGCAACTAGAGACCATACCCATAAGTGAAATAAATCAGACCCACATGTGTAAACATCATATTGTCTCCCTGGTGTATGAAGCTGAAAGAGTGAATAAAATCTGAAGAGTACAATAGATATTGTGAAAGGGAAAGAAACTGCTCAAATAAGAAGCAGCAACTGGGATGAAGGAGGGCAGAGGAAAAGAAAGAAGAGAAAAAAATATGTGTATATATATATATATATATATACATACATAGAATAGGATAATTGTACTGCTAATATGTTAGTTGATTGAAAGGAACTGTTAATGTGTAGTTGATTGATCAGTCTTACATGCATCTGGTTATCTGTGCCACCATTTGGAAGATAACATTATGTAGTATAACAACCATTGTTAATATCCTATCACCTTGTTTTGAAATTCTGTGTCTTTCAGTATTGCTTGTATTGGTCTTGTGTTATTTTGTAAATGTATGTGTGTTTGTTAATATGCTTTTGTTCTTTTATTTTTTTAAATAAAAAATATGTCATATGCTAAAAAAATGAAATTCTGTATCATTTTTATTGTTCTCTCTGCTGTTTCGTTTATGTACTTGTTTTTGTTATTTTGGTTTTTTTCTTTTCTCTTTAAAATGAGCGACTACTTTGAAGATAACAATATGCAATATAATAGCCATTGTTAATTTCCTATCATGTTGTTTTGAAATACTGTATCATTTTTACTTTTTTCTCTCTTTAAAATAAAAATAAATAAATAAATGCCAGGCTGGCCCTAAGAAAGGCCAAAGGAATATCCCTTTCATGATATCTAAGGGCAGGCAAGGACCCCGTCTCCTACCACCATCGCAGGCAGAGGTGGAGTTTTAGTTACAGCTGTGCTCCTCTTATCATGTCATTTCACGTGATGTGTATTTTGTTATCATCTTCTGTCTCCGTGGCATGCATTTTTTACTATGCCAATAAAATACAGGTAAGCTGTGGGTTACTTTATTCACTATTGTATGCATGCATTTTTCCCTTAGCACCTGGAATTTCTTCCTCATCATCTGCAAAAGTTCCTAATTGGGACTCCCCAGCCCCAGTGGATTTGATTGTAATGATCTTTAAAAAAAACCTCTGATTGCTTCATATGGTGCTGAGTACACAGTCTTTGAAGCCTGAGCTGACTTCCCATCTTCCTGGTGTTATCTTACTTTTATAGACGGTTCCACTGCGCAACTCTCAGCTCCCCATAAGGCTGAGCATTACTTCTGCTGTCTCACTAACCCTTACAACCTGCAGCTAGCCAGTGATCAAAGATCACGTCTTACTTTCTTCCTCACGGAGGAAGACTTCCTTCAGTGAAATCGAAAGTAACTTTACTCCTCAGGCCACTTTGTCTCACTTAACATTATGTAAAAGACCGCCCCGATTATGTAATCTCTAACTTGTGGCAAAGACGAAGACGACATCAGGTAAACCTACAATAGAGAATCAGAAAAGTCATGAGAAGAGAGGAGCTGAGCTAAACCTGAGCCTGGGGGCGCAACGGAGACCCACACACACACTGCGCAGCAGATCCGCAAGGACGTCCGCGGCCAAGAACTGAAGTCGATGGTCAGCGGGGCGTGAAGCTTCACTTCTTCCACCTGTCTTTACTGTGTTATTATTGCAAATTAAATAATTCAGTGGAAAGCTAAAACATTTGCTGCACCGGCAGCAGGATCTCTTGACTCCAGTGTGTGACATACTTAATTGAGTCCTCTTCCACTAAAAGTCAGAATATCATGGAGTTCAAATCCACGTCTCTCAGACCTTCTCTGCCCCATTTAAGAAGGATGAGTATAGAATCTGACATCGCTGACTTTTTCACTGCGAGGGGAGGAAGTTCCTTTAAGCTTAAAAAAGCAAAACCATCTGGTGCTGCACAGCTGTGGAAATATTGTGTGTCTAATTATTTATGGTGATACCTGTGATTTGGCTTTGGTATATCCCAGAAGACTTTGGAAAAGCAGAGTTTCAGCATGAGTTCAGATCAATAGTGTCTAAATCATTATTCTGGTTCAAGATTTTTCTCATTAGAATGAAGAATGGGAAAACTCTGTTTGCTTAAGAAACCACAGAAATGTCACCCTGGCTGATGTTGAGGTATCAGAAAGGAAATGCCTGTGTAGTGCTGTTGGAAAAGTCACTCTGACAGCCCTTCCATACCTTCGGCCTTCAATTCCATCCGTCAGAAGAAATGACAGAAATATATATAACAATAAATGTAGCATCCGTACACCCAGGCATTTGTTGATTACACTCCCTCTGGGATAGATGGGTCCACCCTCGTTGATGGATAAACACTCCTATGAAAAGGGCTGGTAGGAGTGGTCTTTCTCTCTGCCGTGTGAGGACACAGTGTCCCTCATTTTCAGGGAACACGAAACTCTAGGTGCTGTCTCAGTAGCAGAGAGACAAAGCCCCACTCTACCAGCACCTTGATTTTGGATTTCCCTGCCTCCAGAATTTTAGGAGAATAAATCCATGTTCTTAATGAATTATCTTCTCTGTGGTATTTTGTTGTAGCAGCACAAAATGCATTAAGGCATCCAAACAAAAAATCTTGATGAACAATCAAGGCTTTCAGTTAAGAGTCCTAAAAGCCCATTGTAAATCCCTGCAAATAGGGGAAAAGCAGTAGTGTTGACTCACCCTCACAAATGCTAATGCTCAGCTTTGGATCAGCTCAATTTCTGGATGGGAGGAGGGTGACGTTCTCCAAACCACCTGTTTGAAACAAAACAAATCCCCTTTGAAAAAAAACATAAAAATCATTCACAACTCAATTTTTCATATGTGGTGCCTGGCTTTAAAATCAAATTAACACAGGTAAAAATATTTGGGTTTTTTTTGTTGTTTTTTTTTTGGGGGGGGGGTGTGTTTCTCCGGTACCGGGAACTGAACTCACGTCCTTGCTCTTGCCAGGCAGGCGCTTTTGCCGCTGAGCTAAATCCCCAGCCCCTAGGTAAAAATATTTGACCAAAATAAAAAGAGACAGTATAAATAGATCTACCAAAAATGTATTAAAGTCACTATACATATGTGTTCTTATTTTTTTTTAAAGATAAAAGGAGGGAAACATTAACAGACATACAACATTTTACAACATATCACAAGCACAATACAGACAATACAGAGCTACAAACAAAGTGGTAGGGAATTAACAATGGTGGTTGTATTACATATTGATATCTTCAAAGTGGCTTCTCATGAAAACAGATATAAACATGCAATACTGGTCAACCAAAGACTCATTGACAGTTTCTTTCAGCATAGAAATAGAAGACAGAAGAACAACCAACATATGTGTTCTTGCTTGGTGTGGTGGCGCACACCTGTAATTCCAGCACTCGGGAGGCTGAGGCAGAAAGATCATTGCAAGTTTGAGACCAGCCTAAGCTACAAAGTGAGCTCAAGGCCAGCCTGAACTGCATAGAGAGACCTTGTCTCAAAAAAAGACAAAAAAAAAATGTATTCTTGAAACTGATTGATGCCCTCAAAAAGTTAGATGGCAAATTGGAGAATTCAGGAGGAAAATGAAAATTATGAAAAATAATCAAGTGAAAAGTTTAGGACTAAAAATATAACATGTGAAATTAAGAACACAATTGATGGGTACATTCATCTAACAGCATTATTTCTGATAAAATACCCAGTAAAACACAGACTGATACATAAAATATAATGGATTGAAGATTCAGAAGTAAGCATAAAAAGGAAAGGAGAGAAAATGCAACAGAAGCAATATTTGATGAAATGATCAAAGAAACTAAGCCACAAATTTGGGATGTGTTACAAACTCCAAAAAAGTTAAAAACAAATCAAAGAATTCATAGCTACATCCTGGTAAAACTGTTAAAAAACAAAGACAAAAAAAAAATAAGCAGACAGAGAGAAAGAAATCATTCAGAGTAACAAATACACTGTGAAGTAAATGACAGATGACTCCACAAAGAAAAACTAGAACGCCTGCGACACCAGCTCCTCGAGAGGCGGAGACAAGAGGATCACAAGTGTGGGGCCAGCCTGAACAATACAGCTAAACCATGCCTCGAGAATAAAACTAAAGAGATATTCAAAATATAGAAATAATTCCACTACTTATTTAGTTCCATTCTGCCTCACCCATCCCTGAAGAGAAAATTGCATCCAGACGGGTTAAGTATACATCAAGGTAACAAAGAATTTCAAGGTGCCACCAGTTTCCTAATTTATTCCTATTGTCCTATTCATACACCCGAAGAAAAATTAAAATAATTGGAACATTCTACCCTAGCAAAGGCACCGCTGTTTTCTGTGCATACCCCTTTTCAAATGCTATTTTGCTGTTAGTGGATATTATCATCTTGTCATTTCGGGATTTTAACTATGTTTTTCTTTTAGTTATTAGACCCTAAAATTAAAACTATTGCTTCTGTTGGTTGCTTTTCTTACAGTGCTGGGGACCAAACCCAGGGGTTCCCTCATGCTAAATACATGTTCCATCAGTAAACTACCTCTGGAGCTCAGCTCCTTCTGAAATAAGTGTTGGAGCATCCCTCAGAAGAAAATGCCCTTTACATAACAGAATTGCTAAATTTTGTCAAGGTCTATCAAACAACACACCTAAACAAATGCAATTTTTTTTCATTTTTGCTCTTTGCAAACTAAGAGCTATGCACTACAAAACTCCCTAAGATATGAGTCACTGTTTTAGGTGCCACGTTCCTAACTTGTTTGAAAATTAGGGGTGGAGCAGCACCATTTCACCGTGTGTGTGACCCATCATTCCGCTGAACACCTCCCACTGCAAGATCTCACACAGGACACAGCTGGATGTTAACTCAGCCTCTGGAGGCCCATTTATCATAAGAAAAAATATTGAGTGTCAAAAAAAAGATCTTTTGGTGCTGAGGACCCTCCGCTTGCTTAAGTCATCATTTTGCAGCCATTGCAGTAAGATTTATAAATGCCACTCTTAAGGCCGCACGAGAAAACGTGCCCTTTCCACATGCACATTTGTGCAGTTCAGAGCAATGGGGGGTCTCCTTAAATGACTCTCCCTGCATACACTCAGGGACCCAAACCGCTCTACACGGTGAAAGTCGTACTCCTCCACTTTTATAAAGCATTATTTCTCTTTTTTACATGACTTTACAATAATATAGAGGTTATAACAAGTAAAACTAAGGTAGTTCATAATTTAGAAATACAAAGGTGCTATGAGAATTTTCTGTTGTGTTCACAGGAAAGAATCAGACACTATAAAGCCTGGGGAATTAATTCTAAGACTGTGAGAGCCATGTTTGCATCAGTGAGTTAGCCATGCCCTCGGGTTTCCTCATGAAATACTACATAGCACTCAGGACAGAAAAGAAACAGAAAAAAAGTATGTTCATTTTGCTAAATACAGAACTTTATATCTCTGACAAATGTTTTAAAACTACTCATTACCTTAAAATAGTCTCATGATTTTTATTCACTGCAACTCAGAGTTTGCCCTTTAACTGAGGTCCATGAGAAGGAAAAGTCTATCTTTGCCTGAAAATTCTGCACTTTGCAGTAGCATCTGTTTTCACATCATCTTGCCATGCTAAATATCTCGGTAACCACCCGTGTGTGTGCCAGATGGAGGTGACTGCTCTAACTCTACATGGTACCTGTCAGCAGTCCAGCAATCTAAAGCAGTTAAATTACTCCATCTGCTCTTTCAAGTTGCCTGGAGACTGCCTCTCAAATGTTAATGTTTTTGTTTGTTAATAAATAATAAAAGGGCACTTTGTCAATTATACAACTTGCCTGATTCATCATTTGTGCTAGCAAATTTCTGTCAATATTGAATGAATCAATAAAGAAGCATTTGTCATGTGTCTTACTGTACTAGTCTCTAGAAGATGAAATATACAACTTAGGAGAGGAAAATACCCAGAGAATAATTAATGGTCCCAGAAGCATTACGCATTATACAGAATGCCTGTTATAAATATTATGCAATGCTGAACAAAGGTATAAAGACAATAACATAAAAGAGAAATAGAAAAACTAAGAACTCAGAATAAAACGTGAACGTGATACATATTCAGTTGAAAGTTCCCATGTGCAGGGTCCTCGCCATTTAATCAATAAATACTCATTAAATGTGCATCCCATGCTGCAAACCATGCTATGGAAGATAATGGAGAAAAGAGGAATAGGGCACAGTCCCTGCCTTTCAAGGTTTTCTATTCATAAGACATGATCTCAACTACAGTTTCTCTGGTTAAACAGTTAAAAATTGCCCACCTCAATTATTGAATAACCCCTTAAAAAGCTGACAGTAAGCTACAAAACAACAATGCACTGCCAAGTCTGGCTCTTTTTGCTAAATGTGGAATGATACTTTGAGGAAAAATAATCTACTGCTATTGCTGATTATCTTCTCCAGCACTTGACACAAAGGCCCTTAGTGCTATCTACACATCCAAGCCCGACCATTTGTTCAGTGATGCCTATAAGCAATGAAAATGGCTCAGAAATTGCTTTGTAAATGCTCCTTGACTATGATAGGGATACACAAAGATCTTCTTTAAACATTGTCTCTATCAACCCGCTGATGGTCAGTGATTGCTATGAGGTATGCTATTGCCGCAGATGTCTAAAATAGAGGCAGGGCCGCAGGAAGCCACAGTAAAAGTGAACACAGACCGGAAGTCAACTAGGGGCTACAGGCCTTTTGAAATCTAAATACTGCAACAGTCCCCCTTTCAGTTTCAGTTACCCATGGCCAACCATGGTTCATAACTATTAAACAGAAAATCCCAGAAATAAATAATTCACAATTTTAAATGATTTTATCACAGTACATTATTATAGTTGTTCCATTGTATTATTTGTTCTTTTTGCTAACCTCTCATTGTGCCTAATTTATAAATTAAACCTTATCTTAAGGGGCTGGGGATTTAGCTCAGCGGCAAAAGCGCCTGCCTGGCAAGTGCAAGGTCGTGAGTTTGGTTCCCGGTACCGGAGAAAAACCAAAAAAAAGAAAAACCTTATCTTAGGGATGCACAGGAAAAAAATATTGTACATACGGTGTTCAGTACCATGGCATTAGTCAGCTTTCGGTCTTTTGGCAAAATCACCGAGATAAAGAACTTAAAAGAAAAAGAGGTTTACTGTGGCTCATGGCTTCAGCAGTTTCAAGCCGTCCCTGGCTGGATGCTTGGATTCTGTGGTCAGGCACAGCATCGCAGCAGGAGGACACGGTAGAAGAGGCGGCTCACCTTGTGCAGCTGCATAGCAAAGGCAGAAGGAGTCAGTGTTGGGCTAATGTTACCCCTTTGTTATTGCAGACTGATCAGGTCCACAATCTCCCAAGCTAGTGGACAGTGAAGGTTAATTAAAAGGGACAAATGGAATGATTTCAGGGCTCCAAGAGGATCCAAACCTTCTTATAGAATTTGAGAATCTCTCAGAACTAAGACAAAGACCTTCTCTGGGTGGCCCTTATTTAGTTAGTTATCAGAAGAAAGAGAGGAGTACTCAAGACGGGTGCAACCACTCAAGGGCTCCTCCAAGTAAGGCAGTAAATTAATACACCCAGGAGTGAGATGCCTGAAGTTTCAGTCTTTATCTAGTTCAGGTTCGATCCAGGTGTCCTTCACTGTGATTGTGTCTTATCCTTTGAGACTTCATGGCTTCACCCACCATTACAGGCCTCAGTAGGGATCAGTGACTCACATAGGTTCACTTACTATGAGTCTACTGCCCGCCTCCAGATAAGGAGTCTCGGCCTTGGACAGACTCACAAGTAACCATGAAAGGCCCATTGGCTCATTTAGGTCCTGCTCAGGGCTGCTTCATAGTGGTCTCCATCAGGTCAGGATCCCAATATCCCCTTAAAGACACACCAAGGTGACCCACTTCCTCAGTTAGGCCCCATCTCCTGAAGTTTCCAACACTTCCCAACAGTGCCATCAACCCGTGGCCAAACCCTCAACACAGGATTGGCAGGAGGGAGATTTAATACCCAAACCATAACAGAGGGTTTCAGGCTTCTGCTGAGGGTCTTAGAACACTTCACCCAAGGATAAGAAGGAAGCAATTACTGTATAAACAGGAAACCCTTTATTTTATGACCTGTGGAAATATGAAGTCCTTTCAAAATCTCCAGAGAATTTCCTAGAAATTTACACCAGTTTATGCATCCTGTTTAATTTCATAGTACACTGACCTAGAACTGGAACTGTTTTCCTTAATTTTCCACAAACCTGTCAGTCCCATGGGTACCTATCGATGGAAAAGCCTTGACTGTGAATTTGAGGTGTCAGGGACTTTGTATGGCTGAAACACAAAGAAACCAAATCTACAAATTGCGATAACTGCTGCAAAAGTCAGTCTATTATCTGCAAAGCCAGAATTTCAATCTCCTGCCATGTGACATTCAACTCTCCCCTGATTCCCTGCTTCTACCTCACCAACTCCTCTTCATCTCAAATTCAAAGTAGTTTTCCACCTTGGCTCTGGCAAACTCGTGTGTGCAGAACTCCCGCCTTCACCACGAACTAGCTTATCAGTTTTTCTTAAAATGTCTGTATCACACTTAGGAGGAATTCTGGACTCAACCACTAAAGTTATAAAATGTTTTACCCTGGCGTATAGTAATCTCAAAGCTGTCAGAGTACTGGAAAAACTCACACATTATTTCCTACTTGTGCAGTCAATTTATATTGCCTTCAACAATTTAGCAACACACTAAAAACAATAGTGTTTACATCCTTTTGCCCTAAAAACTCATTCCACAGAACTTTTTATTTAAATATGACATACATGATAGTTATCGGCTACTAGTCTAAGAAAATTGCATTTGTCCAATACATAAAATGTTCTTTATACTATCATATAGTATAGAAAACTGAAAAAACAAAATATCTAAAATTGGTAAAATGTTAAACAAAGTACTACTATTTGATAGGATGTAATGTAGCCATTAAACAGTTCCATGTGTTACTAGGCTATATTTCAAAAATCTCATGAAATTTTTTGTGGAAAAAAGATCACAAAACAAGATAATATCTATGCTGGGATTGAAATTATCCAGCCAATGTACACATGAATAAAAGTTGAAAGAAGATATGTACAAAAAATATATATAAGATATAGTATGCCAATGGGTGCTTAAAATTCCTTTTTATCATTTCCCTTGTCGTGCCTTATATAAAATAAATAAAAATCATAATATTTTGCTATAACCAACAAATTCTTCCTCCAAAACGATTCCGAAAGTCAATATAAATTTTTGATGAACACATTGGTGAACATTCCACGAACAGGGTCTTTCTTTGAAAGATGGTAGAGAAGAGTGGTCCATCCAGAGATGGCCATTCTATAGTCCTTCTATAGCATAAAGTCCTTATATAGCATATATCCTTATGTAGAATTACAAAAGAGGCTTCAGAAATAGAGCTATAATTTTCAGGCATCTGATATTTTATTTATAAAATTAAGATATTAGTACCTGTTTCACAGTGTTGGTTCATATTAAACAATGTCTTTTCTAATACCAAATACTATGCCTCACACACAGTAATTAAACTTGAATGTGCTGTGTTCAATAATCAAAGCTCCCTGGATACGTGCTGGGTGTCTGTTTGCATTTCGATGATGGTGCACTCTTCATCCTAAGTTAAGGAGAGGCTCAGCTGTAAGGCACCGAGGACTTGCGAAGACCCTTCCTGGAGTCCTGAGATACGGGAGATTCGCCTCTCCTGTGAGCGAGGGGTGTGCACATTGCAGGTCGTGCACAAATATTAGGACGTCTACTTACATTTATTTACACTATTTCCTTTCAAAAGTTGTTTCAAATGTTTTCTAATTTACATAATATTTTAATAATTATTCCTTCCAATATGCATACAGAGAACACTTGTTCAAAATTTTTGAGACGTGTTTAAACAAATTCAGAGGAAACCGTTCTGAACGTAAGTTAGAAAGTCACCCCCAAGTTTGGGTTCAGTACCAGAAGATACGTAAAATAACATCCGCCCGCTCTCCTGAACACCCTGCCAGCTCAGCTGCAGTTGCTCATCCTCTAGACACACATAATATCCTCCCGCCATTCCCTGCCAAGTAGCCAGACCTTCTTTATATTAAGTTGTGTGCAATTGTTCCACCGCTAACTGATGAGTTATTTCTTGTTTGACCTTATGACCCTTGACCATAGTAAAATTCAGCTAAAAATCAATTACAGAATATGATGGAACATCCCTGACTGTTTGGAAATTTAACATCACCATACTAGACAAACTATTGGTTAAAGAAATGAAAAGGAAATTCAAAAGGTATCTGGAGGTGAGTGACAATGACAATGACAACATATTAGCATTTGTGAAAAGCAGCACTTAGGGGTTTATAGTTCACAATGCCAATGGTAAGAAAACTGTTCCATACAAACATAGCTCAAAGCTTTTTCTATGTTTAAAACTCCCAAGCAGCTTCCTTGGGGAATTCTACAAAACATAAAAAAAATTAATATCAAGTTTACCTAAGTTATTCCAGAAAACTAGAAAGAAGGACTACTTCCCCATTCATTTTAGAGGGCACTTTACTGTGACGCCTCATCCAGGAAAAGACTTTACAGTGGAAGATAGCTACAGACCAATAGCCTTCAGAAACACAGATGTATACCTCAAGAAAAATATTAAAGACACAATATGTCATTCCAAGTTGGAATTATTCCAAGAACACAAAGTTAGCTTAATACTAAAAAAAAAAATCATAAAATTGTTATCTTAACTGTCTGACAAAGAAACACCATATGGTCATTTCAATAAATAAAGCATTTGACAAAATCTAACATCCATTCCTGATTTAAAAAAAAAAAACTTTCAGGAAAATGGGAATTGTAAGAAATGCCTAAACCAAATAAACTAGCATTTCTATATACTAGTATCAAACATCAGAAATTGTACATTTTAAAACATTTTTAACAACAGCACAAAAATTGAAAATATGGATTTTTTAAAAAGATATTTGCAAGACCTGTGTTCAAAAAACTACAAAATGGTACTGTTTCCTGTGCTCTTCTAGATTTCCCAAGCCTTCCCCGGCTCTCCCACAGCACCCGGCTGCCTCTGCCGCTCCGTGACAGCAGGACAGCCTGCCGTCTGGATCTGCAAACGGCCCTCCTCACGCGTCTCAGCACCCTCCGTGTGAGCTAAGCCATTTGCTCCAGAAATAGTTTATTTAGCCCAACATAATAGTACCTTGGGGCACTGCTGGCAGCCATATATGCCCTCAGTTTTTGAGGAAGTCTTTTCTCCAGATCTTGCAGGTTTTCTGTTTCTAAGAAAACATATATTTAATAACCATCAAGTGAATTAGGACATTATTCCTATCTGCTGTAAACGGGTGATTGACAGATATGGCAAATGTTTAAATTTTTTTTTTTAAATCTCACTACCCATTGCCAAGAATGAGGGATAAGTGTGTTCCAAGTGAGGGGAAGTATTCTGAATTCTTTGAGGAGGATTTGTGCCAATGTGTCTTTTACTGTAATAAATTTCTTTAAACATTGACATTTTTCATCACCCTTCATTGATTAAACATCTGTAGCAATTTCTTTCAGATAGAACTATGACAGTGAGCCCTCACCTACCTTACTCACTGGCCCTGAGACTGTGTAACGTGTGCCTCTTCCCGAAATCGAACTGACCGTGACAGGCAAACATGTTTAACTGATTTAGCACATTAAGGTAACCACAACAACGCAATGAAAGACACTCATGAAAGAGGACAATCAGAACTGCTCCAGGAATGCGCAGGAATCATGGGATGAGTGTTCACAGTGAGGGGCGGTATTCCGAGGGGGATTAATGCCAATGTGTCTCCAACTGTAATTTTTTTAATTTAAACAGTCATCTTACTTGTTATCATCCAGGGTGGTTTGAACATGTCCTCCCAAAAGTTCCTGCGCTGGAATCAAAGCCCGGTACGGAGGGTTGTGGGACCTGTGAGAAGGGATTAGGAATTAAGAGGTGTTAGTGACTTTCCCTTGGAATCCCGTTCCCCCTCACCACAGGACGCTGTCACAAGGCGAGACCTCACCTCCTGCTTTGTCTCTCCTCTCCCCGCGAGCTTGTCAGCTGACTGGCATGAGTTGAAGCAGCTCAAGTTCCGAGAAGCTGAGCAGAGGCCAGCGGCCACACTCCACACTACCTGCTCCCCAGACCCGTGAGCCAAACAAATCCCCCTCCATCGTAAGTCCCCCAGTCCTGGGTATTTTGTTATAGCAGCAGAAAGGGGACGCAGCTCCAACACAAGAAAAGGAATGCTGATTTAGTTTTTAAACCTAGAATTAAAGAAGAAATACTTGAATCACGCGGTCTTTTTCAAATTCTGTTTTATTAAGATCTGTTGGTGGAAGAACACTTACACGCTTTTAGAACTGCACATGTCCAGGCTTTCCTCATCAGTGGGTCACAGATCCAACGACTCTAGGCTCCAGACCTGGCTAGAGTCGCGGTTAACCGCTCACTCAAAACTGCCCTCGTGCAAGTTTTCCCTCAAACGTATTCTCATTAGCTGCTTTCACTTGAACAGACATAAATCAGGAAAGCACTTAAGAAAGCTATTTAAAATATGACCTGAGGGGTTTTTTCTTGGTAAATTATCATAAAACTTCCTGAGTCAGATTGAAAAGCCACATGTGAGGAGCTTTACATATTTCTGCCTATAGATATTTTGTAATCAATTATAATAACATTATATACCTCATTTCTGCTGTAATAGATTCAATTACATAGTTAACATTTCCTGCTAACCTTTTCAAATACAGGAAAGCAAATTCCACCTACCTGATTGCTGTGTTTGTCTAATGCATATGTTATTCTTGTTACCTTTAATGCAAGGAGACACTTGCTTTCTTTGGTTACATAGCTGGATAACCAGTTATTTACCTGATTTGTAGATGCATTTAAACTGCTACGCCTCTGGGGATTGCTTCGTACATATTGTTGTCGTTATACTTTCTCTTAACAATTTATCTCTCCCAACAGTCTCATAACCTAGGTTGGTATAACATGTCCCCCTTTTATGGGAACCTGGAGACATCGCCACTACATTTCTGGGTAAATCTGTGCCAGCCGGTCAGAAGTGCTGTCTTAGTCCATGCGGTTCTAATCTACTGTGTATTCCAGACCTACCCCACCTCCCGGGAGGGCCACAATTTGGGAACATTTTGAAAAGTATTTATAATATGAATCATTAATAATTAGCTGTATCAAGTAATTATAATACCACAAGCACACAGGACCTTCTTCAAATATACGTTTTCTTCCATCATTAAGATGTTTGACCACAAAGGACGGAGAAGTTTAATGAATATAGACTACCTGGTATGCAGTGTGGATTTTTTTCGGAATGTTCTGTTTAGTTTGGCATAAGCAAAGGGCTTGAAGGGAGCAGCACAGCCTGCAGTGCAGACTGTGCCCCTGGGTCCCACGAGCACACTGATTTTAGGGATCAGTCATCATAGATGACCAAAACCCTAGTGAAGAATGAATTATCCACTGGTCGTTTTCTCTGTGCACTCTAATTTCTGTTCTCAACTGATTTCTGTCCAAATCGCCTGGTAATAAATACTAAGACATTTTTCTAAAGTGACAGGTTTATGAAACGCAGCTCAGTACGAAAACTAGAAAAGCTGACCGAGACTTTACACGGCCCCCATCGAGCGGTGTGCACAGTCACGGAAGCGTGTAAGTCAGATCCTGCGCCACGTCAAGGGCGGAGACTTTGGCCCAAACCCCTAGAGTAAAACGTTTTTCACAAGGAGCCTCAAGATCTTTCATATTCACTGCAATAGGCAGAGCTGCTGTGAAAACTCAATTCTAAGGTCTAGTCTAGGACCCCTCTGCACAAAAAAAACTTTGCATAACTGAAGTCTACCCAAAGAATTTCAGGTAAAGAGCATCAACTGGTTTTCAACAACTAGGCTCTGATAAATCCATAAAAAGTCAATGCATTTATACATCTATAAAATGTGTGAATAAAAATGACCTGTGGCTTATCATTCGTTTACCTACTGAGAAGCAAGAACCTTGCTATCAGAGAGGAACAGAGACAGAGAGAGGAAAGATTTATGACAGAAATTCTCTGGCCCTAAAGGCAAAGGTTTTTTTTTTTTTTTCAGTTCTTTAAAAATATCTTCTATAATGAAAAAAATCTAGTATAAATTTGAATTTTCACAAGCTACACATGCCTATTTAACCACCTGTTAGATCCAGAAAAAATGTGAGCTCCCCAAGCACCCGTGCCAGTCACTGCATCGCTCACTCGCTAAGTGAGCCCCGCCCTCAGTTCTACTTCCTGCCTCCTGGGACACCTCACTCTGGTCCCAGCTCTGGATTGGACCAAAACGGCCCCCTCCGCCTGCCCCTCTTGCGCTCCTGCTCTTCCAAAGTCAGTGTAGCTGGAGTGTGAAGGACGCAGGAGGAAAACCCTCAGCTGATCGGGTTTGAGTGACTGTCTAAGCCCGGACTGTGGCGCTGTGTATTCTACCGTCACATGACAAGAGGGCTCGAAGTCGCGTTTAGGTTGAGATAGAGAAGGATAAACTAGGTTAAAGTTTTTTCATACCTCCACCAGACAAAAGTTAAGGGCAAAATTAGCACAGGGTATTGTTCATAAACTTGTAGCAAGGAAGCTTTTCAGCCATCCAGCACTTTCCTTTAACCCGGAGTTCAAAGGTGTCAAGAGGAGAGGAAGTTTTACAGTAAAATGAAGAAATGCTGAGAAACCGGGGCTGGCAAGAGCTGTAAGATGACGGGATGTGGGGGGAGCAGCAGAGACGCTAATTCACCTTCAAGTACAAGGAGTGATCAAAATACAGAGTGCGTGATTTTTCAGTGTATTACCGTCAAAGCTACTCCCGGTCATCTCCCCCAAGGTCCTCCCCTGGCTCACGTACTTACCCCATTACGCCTGCCCCTCTCGGAGCAATTCCGGGAAGTCCTCTTAGGGAATGTCTGTAAGAGGTGTGATAAAAAGCCTGACGCATGCTGAGGTCCAGTGCCGTCCAGCAGAAGGGCAGGTTCCTAAAACATTCGTGTGTCCTCTTCCGGCTTACTCACCAGATCCGGCACGGTGGGACTTCTGGCTCTCCCTCCAAAGTCAAAGTGACCCTGAGAGGTAACCGCTTTGAATCAATTCAGGGTGTGGAGACAGCCACAAAGCACAAGGGAGGGTACGCACAAAGACAGCTTCCAGAACTGCTGCAGAAAATGGTAAGAAAGATGAGACGTGTGGTCAAAGCAAGGGGGAGTATTTTGTGAGGGAACTAGAAGCGATGTGTCTTTCACTGTAATTTTTTTTTTAATTTAAACCGTCACTGTAGTTTTCCAACATACCTCTTACATTTCGCAGCCCTTGGTTTGCTGCCAGGGGGCGCTGAGCAGCTTACAGATAGTCCAAAGGAGGAAGAATCGTGCCGTGTTTACGGTAGCAGGGTTTCAATGCCCAGGCATTTCTTGAACCAAGGGGGATGGGTGAGGTGCTTTTTCACTGTGGCATTGTCATCGGGGTCCTTATGGGGAGGAGGGTGCCACGGCAGACAGGTCCTCCGCTAAACACGCGCTCTGAAAACGGAAGGGACAGCACATTCGCACCTTTTTATATGAGCAATACATATGACAGTCACGGAAACTGATTGCGACGAATATAACATAAGCACTGTTCGATGATAAACAGGCACTTGTGGGATGCACATTATTAGCCAGGTGCACACTCATCATCTACTTTTAGGACTAACTTTACCTTTCCCCAAGGTGATATTTAGAAGTGGCTCACTGAGAAAATTCTCCCTCTCTCCCACCATCTCCCTCTCCTCCTCTCCGTCTCTGTCTCTCTGTCCCTCTCTCTCTCTCTTTCTCTCTGTTTCTCTCTCTGTCTCTCTGTCTCTCTGTCTCTGTCTCTCTGTCTCTGTCTCTCTGTGTCTCTGTCTCTCTCTCTCTCTCTCTCTCTCTCTCTCTCTCTCTCTCTCTGCCCCACAAACCAGGATTTCTTCTTTGTACACAGATTTTTTGGGTTGCTTTTTTTTTTCCAGTACCAGGAATCAAACTCATGACCTCACAGTTGCCAGGCAGGCACTGTGCCGCTGAGCTAAATCCCCAGCCCCTGTACATAGATTAAAAGTGATTCATACTCCCAGTTAGGATTCCACATGGGGAACTATAGTTTCAGACTTTTGGATCCCACATTCAGAGCCACGGTTTCAAACTATCATGTGTTAATTTTGTTCCTATTTAATTAAAATTGTACTACACTCAGTAAACACTTTTCAGTCTTTGTCCTTTTTGACTTCCCATCTCTATGCGCTCGGTAGTCACATTCATCCTGAAACTCGTTCCCGGCCTCCCCGACCCTACTTGCTTGGCTCTCCTTCTCCCCTGCTCCCCCTCCGTCCTAAACATCCATGAAAATGGCCTTGTTCTCCTCAGAGCTGGGGCACAGGCTCCTGCCCTTCCAGTTCTACACAGTCTTGCAAGGTAACCTCAGCCACGTCCTTGACTTAATTTACAGTCCACGTGCAGTTATCTCCCACATCAGTGTCTCTCGTCCAATCTTCTCCTCTAAATTCCACACCTTTATCCAGCTGCTCCTGATGTGTTCCTGTGAGCCTCCACAGGATCTCAAATTTATTATCTTCGGTCTGCAGCCGAACTTACCAGCCCAACAGCCCACCACAGTTTAATAAAGGCCAATCAGACTCTCTGCTTATCCAAGCTGAAGAGCTCAGAGTCACCCTTGATTCTCCTGCTTTACTCTCCCCCAAACCAGTGAAGCCCCAGGTTTACGCATTTCACCAACATATCTCTCAGATGTATTCCTCTCCCCAGCTCTGCGGCCGTGTGCAGTTCAGATCGCACGGTTCCTATGGAACAGCCATACAATCCCTTCGGCTTCTCTTGCTGCCTGCTGCTCTGCACACTGCGGACACAATGATCTCCAAAAAGCACCAAGATGGTGATTTAATTCCCCCGCTCAGATTGTTCCAATCCAGTCCTGCTTCCCTGAGGGCAGACGTTAACTCTTTCCCTGGCTCGAAAGTCCTTCACAAACTCGCTACTGCTTACTTCTCCAGCCTTGACTTCCCCTCACTTCCGTGCGTAAGATAACAGTTCCTCATAGAAACAGCGTGTTGATTTCTGCCCTCGGTTCCTCTCTCCACAGAGCTCAGGATGGATGGGGAACCTGCGGGCACAATGCTTCCAACACCACCTTTTGTTCCTATCCTAGCACATTCACACTGTATTTATCTTCAGATCTCTGTCAGTGAATTCACTAGCCACGTGTGCATTCTAAATTGCAACCTCAGCTCGGCTAAGACCTGCACTACAGTAAAAGGGGACCCGCTTCTGCAGCTAGAGAGACGCCCTGGCATAGAGGAATAAACAGCGGCACACCTGGCTTGCAGTCTTGCTTCTGCCACGTACCACCAGTGTAACCTTAGGCAGGTTACTGAACTTCTCCAAGTCTTTGGTTACTTCTCTGTGAAATGGATCGGCGCACCCATTTTGTCTCACTGAGGGATTCAGAACAACCAGCTCAGCACTTGAAACACTGCAAGTGTTCAGAGGCATGGCTCAGTTTTTCCTCTGCCAGCCTCCAAGAACTACACGGAGGTACACACTTCCACACTGCGCGTGCACCACGCTGACACAGGATGCCACAGAAATCAACATTCTCCTCTGTCGGCTGCTTTTCCTTTCCAGTCTGCTCAAGTCAAGCAAGGAAGTTTTGGAAATGCCACACCGTACTTTAGAACATTGCTTTAGATGCTGCATTCTTTAAAAAAAAAAGTACAGAAGTTTCTTCTGTTTCATATCGAATTAATTTCAGTGAAGTATTCTGTGTTTTATCACTTTTGACATAAATAGGAAATCTGAATTTGATATAAATGGGAAATCTGAATTTCCTTGGTTGAAATTCTAATGAAATCTACCCTGATGGGCTCTTTTTCGTTTCTCCTTTGCATTATAATCCATAAATATTAACATACTCCCAATTTCCTTTTTTAGAACCAAAGAGGGTATCAAGGGACGCACGCAGTGAACGAAGAATCATTGGTGTTGTATTTCTCACTGTCGTTCTAGAACCTTAGAATCCCGTCCTACGGTCCAGCTACTTCCCGTCTTCGAGCACAGTGCCGAGTCAGTACTAATCATCTCTACTTTCAGCCGCAAGGTGACGGAGCTTGGGCGATAAAATGCACAGTCATGCCTATCCCATGTAGTCAAACTTTTCAGAAACGCAGCACATAATCAAAATAGCTTTTTAAGGGCACTCTTCATCTCTTGTAAATCCAAGTCAGTTTGTGACTCAGAAGTCTGAGTCTTATGAAGCTTTTCACCCATGCAGGTGCTCTGTCCGACTTCAGTCTCCTCCTTTGTTCTTCTCTACCAAGGGAAGAACTCTCCTCAGAGAGTTGAGAAAAACCAAAGTATATTAGTATAATGTTTCTTTAATCAAAGATTTCTTGGAAAAAGATTGCTATGATTTCCTATGAGTGTACATGTGACATCAAGTCAGTCTTCTTAGGTAGATTTCTCAGGAGGATTTCAGCATTCTAATGATAAAAAAGCTAATATTTATTGAGAATTTCCTGTATGCCTGCCACTGCACATAATATTTGACTTGTACTGTTTGATTTAATACACTTTTTAAAATCCTTAAAAGAGCCAGGCATGATGGCGCACACCTATAATCCCAACACTCGGGAGGCTGAAGCAGGAGGATCATTGCAAGTTCAAGGCCTGCCTGGGCTACAAAGTGAGCTCAAGGTCAGCCTGAACTGCACAGCGAGACCCTGTCTCAAAAAGACACAAAAAAATCCTTAAAAAGGAGAGGACTGAAAACTAGAAAGTAGTCTCCTAGTGACAGAGAAGGTGACTGAGGAAGGGACAAAGAAGGGGAAGGAGTAAGAATAAAAATAATCACAATGTGTACACACAGCCAATATGCCTTCGGGGTCTCATTATTCTGTACCACTAAGATGCACCAATGAAAAGAAAAACCAACCCTTAAAGCTTCAGCAAAGCAGATACACGGACAGAAAATGAGTTTACAGTATTCACCATCACGTCCCACAAGGGAACCACAAATGAAAGCAGAAATGAGACAGGATCACCCACCCACCAGAACAGCTCACATGCAAAGCACTTGCAGCACCAAATACCAGCCCAAATGAGGAGAAACAGAATTCTCACTGCTGGTGGAAAAGCAAAATTTTATAGCCACCATGGAAAATAATTTAACACCTTTCTATAAATCTATTTACTTAGATCCTAAGATCCAGGGGCTGGGAATTTAGCTCAGCGGCAAAAGCGCCTGCCTGGCAAGCGCAAGGTCATGAGTTTGGTTCCCGGTACCAGAGAAAAACCAAAAAAAAAAAAGATCCTAAGATCCAGCAATTACATGCCTTAATATTAACCCAAATGAGTGGAACACTATATCCACACAAAAACCTACAGCTTCATTCTTAATCATCAAAACTTGTACCAACCAAGAGTCATGCAGTAAGTAAAGAGAAGAGCTGTGGTGGTACCTCTAGGCAATACAATATTATTCAGCAGTGAAAAGACACGATCTATCAAGTCATGCAAAGACATTGAAGAAACTTAAATACATATTGTTAAATGAAAGAAACCAATCCATAAACACTATGTGATAGGATCTAATTATACAGCATTATGGAAAAGACAGAATGGTTGAGTCAATAAAAAAATGAGTGTCAGTTTGAGACATGGGAAAGAGAGGTGAATGGATGGAACACAGGATATTACTGTACCAGTGAAATTATTCTGTATGGTACTTCAGTGGCAGATACTTATTATTATACACTTATTAAAACTTATAGAATGGTGCCGGGCATGGTGGCGCATGCCTGTAATCCCAGCACTCAGGAAGCTGAGGCAGGAGGATCGTTATGAGTTCGAGACCAGCCTGGGCTACAAAGTGAGCTCAAGACCAGCCTGAACTGCATAGCGAGACCCTGTCTCAAAACAGACAAAAAAAAAAAAA